GGATTCCATGGAAAACAGATAAGTTCTAGTGTTATAGGCACCCCCAGGGGGGAAAAATTGCTTCTTGAGTGCAAGGACCACTTGTATTTGCATCCCCAGCCCCTGACACAAGTACCTATCAGAGTAAAAATCTGTGATACAGAACTAGAAAGATGAGAAAACTCATTCTATGTTAATTCCATGTGAAATTATGCTAGTCCCAAGTGAAATTTAAAGAAGTTAGATATGTAACTTTCACTTAGCAAGGTATTCACCAATAAAATTTATCAAAAACACTTGGTGATTTTTATCCCAAGGGATAAAAAAAGTCTCTAATTTGGACATGGGGACTATGATCCCTTTGCATAAAGATTTGAAATCTCTAGAATATAAAGAGAGAAAATAAAATTTTCAACAGGGTATGGGAAACAGAGAAAACAGATTTTTGTTAACTGAAAAAAAAAATAAATAAATTGCTGCTGATGAGACTAAGCTTGACTACCTCCCAGGGATGTTATGAGGGTATATTTGTGAAGCACCTTAGTGTGGTGGCTGGAACACAGTTGGCACTATATAGATAATGAGGATAATAAGGATGATGATGGTGATGTCTACCTTCATGAATCGACATATAAGCAAATACTAAACTAATTAGGTTGAAACAAAATTAGATAAAACAGGGATTTATAGAAGCAGGCAGGCAACTGGCTTAGTTGATAGAACACTGGATCTGGAGCCAGAAAAATCTTGAGTTCAAACAGAGCCTAAGACATTTACTAGCTCTGTGATCCAGGGCAAATCACTTAACCACTGTCTGCCTCAGTTTCCTCATCTGCAAAATGGGAATAATAACAACACCTACCTCCCAGGGTTGATGTGAGGTTCAAATGAGATAATATTTGTAAAAAGTGTTGCAAACCTTGAAGTGCTATGTAAATGCTAGGTATTATTTTTATAATTATTTTTAATTCATCAATGCAAATTTCTTAACAAAAGGGTAATAATCTTCATGGAATCTAGAAAAAGAAGTCCCAGAGTAAGAAGTTTCTAATAGTTATCTACTATTATACAAGGGAGAAAGTGATTTCTCTATTTGCCAGACACCAGAAAGGAATGCTCAAAAATAGTCATAATTATTCAGGTTGTGTTGAATACTATGAATTATATATGCCACATGATGATAATCCTAATTTATTTTTGCTTTGATTACACATGTGCCAACAAAACAGTTGTCTGATTGCTAATTTGTCAGGTAGCTTGAGAGGAAAGCCTGGACAACATACATTTTTCTAATATTTCTAATATTCCTAGCACTGAGCAGGTATATGCCCAATTCTAAATTAAGTGCAATAATGATTTATATCAGTTTCCTTAGTTTTGTTAGTGTTCAATTCATTAACATTTTTTGAATATATTCTTTGTTCTAAGCATTATGCTAGGCAGTTGGATAAGATGAACCTTAAAAAGTGCCTACCCTCAAGAAGCTTACATTCCATGAAAGGATAATAACATGTACACACAGATATGAATGCACAAAATATTTACAAAGCTATTTGGAGGGGAAAGACCACCGACAAGGAGTGGGTGGAGAAGGATCAGAAAGGACTGCTGTAGGTAAGAGGTAGCTTCTGATTTGTACTTTGAAGGAAGCTAGGGATTCTAAGTAGAAAAAGCATTCCAGGGATAGTGACAGCTTTTAGAAGAAAATCCTAGATCCATGGTAGTAATCCATGTCATCAAGACATAAATAACCAATGAAATTTTATATCAACAACCAATCAATCAGGTATTTGTTACAGACCATCAAAACTGGGGCTAAGACAGAAAATTCAATTCAACGACATATAAATAACAGATGATCTGATTATGGTTTCATTTCACCGATAATTATCTAAAATACCTAAGCTAGTAAAATGCCTGTCGGGATGGAAACCCAATGATAAACCAAGTTTCTTCAATGTTAATATTAAATTGATAGAAATACTAATTATTCAGCATGACTGGAATGTCAGAATGGATTTTTTTTTTTGGAGAGAGAAAAATCAATAAAGTATTATTTTTAGCCTACTTCATTAAAATGAACATAGCTGTTAAAACTAAAAGCCACAAGACATTATCAAGGGAAAAAAAAGTACACTTCATTAAGACCACAGTACTCTATTAATGGGTTAAAATATCTTAACTGATAAATTCAGTTCAATCTTATTTCAGTTTTCTATAAAAACTCAAGCACGTTTCTCTTATTTTAAATGTTTACTCTTCTCCATTTAAGATTTATTTCTAATGTTAAAAAAGGGAAGTAGACAAACTTTCCATTCTAAAAAGTTTTTCCCAAGTGTTCAGACTTTCTAAAACAATTCTAATGGGAGATTTAGAACAGCATTACATACTGCAAAAAACAAACAAATAAATAAAAAGTAAAAATCAAACACCATATAATTAAAGCTGAAAACAATTCAAATCCATAAACGAAATGTAATACTTTAAACAAAGCAAAGAGTAGCTAAATCTAAAGACATTTAAAATGCATGCTTCTAAGGGATTCACTGGTCTACATCCTGATCTAGATACCTCCTAGAAATTAAAAACAAAACACCCAATACACATTGGATCTACTTAAAAACATAAGACTACCATCACTAAAGAAAATCAAGACAGGAAAAAAAGTACTGAAGGGAAAGAAACAGGAACATACCAAATCTAGAACAGAGATTGCTGGCATAGCAGTCTGCTGCAGGTAATAGAGAAGGGAAAAAAAAGAAAGATGAAGTGTGAAAAAAAAAAAGTTAAGTTTAGACTCCTATTGTGCCCAAAGGCATTTCTGTTGATTTCTTACTTCATCTGTTTTTGAAAAATACCCAGAGGAAAAAAGTAAAGAACTACTGACTAATTTATAGCACTATGAGGACAATGACAGCTGACCGATACATTTTAATTTCTTCATTACAGAAATTTGAGAGCAGCAGCACTTTTTTTTTAAACTAGACCTTTTTAAGGATAATGTAAATATGAGGCAAATTAAAGAAATACTCTAAAAATATCAGTGAAAAACTTTCTTGAGATCGAAATCCATGGAGATGATATGCATACCCAGTGCTTGAAGTTAACTTCTGTTAGACCACAAATAATGAATAGGTAGCCCTCCGAGAAATGAACAACTACAAGTAAAATTACATACATGCATCTGACTACTTTGGTTATTATTTGGAAAGAAAGTAATAAGAAATGTTAAAATTAGTAATGTTTTAAAATTATAAATAGCAGTTTTATGATCAGAGATAAAAATACTGAAACTATAGCAAAAAAGACTTATATTCATCATAATTTCTCTAATTATCAATCTAATGATAAGAATCTAGTCATCAATTAATTCAAAGGGGCAATGTCCACTACAAAGAGAAAAGTAAGAATGCACACCTAGAATAAATTTAGGAAATTAAGTGTCATAAAGTTAGCATCATTAACAACCACACAGAATTTTTTTTAAAAAAGCTGCTGAAAGTTATATATTATTAATCATTCCTAAATAAGTTTAATAAAGTTCATAGCAAAACTAAGTCCAATATTTAAGAATCCTACAAATGCCTAAAACTAATTTTTGGAATTTTGGAAATTTGGATTCAGTTTATTGAAGTATATTCCAAATGAAAAAGAAAAAAGAAAAAAAAATAGCCTGAAATAGAAACTTATGTGTTTGTACATATGTATATACGTGTTCAGCTGGGCCACAGTTCATAAATATTATCTATACACAGTGCATTGTAAACTATCCTCTAACAGCTAGCACTAGATTGGGCCAAACACAGAAGCCCAATCAGATGAACAGGAATTAGAATCAAAAGATAAACTAGTGTGTGAAAGATCCACAGTCTTAGCTATCTTATCTCACTAGATCCCAATATAAGTAAAATAATATTGAATAAAAATATTCAGCATTAATTTTCACAAGTTGTCATGAGGACAAATAACAAAGTAGCCCAGGAAATATGACTTTCAATACTTTTCTTATCTCACTGAAGAAACAAAATACCTTGAATTTAACTAAATTCTGGCATTTTTACACTGTTTTTAATCTGATAAGAGTAACTGGATTTTGTTCTTATGCTTCTGAAAAGTACCAGTAGGACAAGACATAAATGGGAAAAAAAGATGAGCAAAATGTTTAACTGGCTTTCTGTTTATACCTCAAATAAAATGTACTTCTTGATTTATACAAACTCTTCTTTTAAATATTATGGCCAATCACTTAAGTTCTCTGTTAAAAACCAAGTTAAGAACTTGTAAAATTTAAAAATCATTAAAAATTCTCAACATAAATTATTTGTGTTTGGAAAACAACTCCCCTATGGTTTCCACCAATTTCTCTGACTTCCCAGACCAAAATTCTTTCCTAAGGACCACTGCACTCCCCTGCACAAATTCTCTCCCCCTATTAGAATGTAAACTCACTGAAGGCAGGCGATAGACAATTTGTATTTCTATTCCCAGTTCCCTACACAGTGTGAGGCTCCAAAGAAAGACATAACAAATGCTTTTACATTCTTTCATTTGTTCAATGCTACTAAAAGTTGGTAAAGAATACTTTTCTTTTTTTTTTTGCCTATGCAAAAGGTGGGTGAAAAGAATAATTCAGGAACTTGATGATAAAAACATCTAATTTGCTGATATAGACAACTAATATTTGCTAAGTATTTTTTCTTTTTGTTCCTCAAACTTTACCGATTAATTTCACTGGATTAATAACTATAATTATTGTATAATTAATTATAATAAAATTAATAGCTGTAATAATGACTATAACCTGTGTTTGTCGAATAAGCTTTATAAAAATATTTTTTTTATAAAATATTTTTTATAAAAATAAAGATTCAATCTGATAAGCAACCTGTTCTTTTCTGATAAGCAACCGCTCTTTTTTTTCCCCCACTAGTTTCTGTACTGTGTTCATGAATTTATATATAGCCATAACACATTCACAGAAATTAAAAAGATAAACAGAGAGATAGATCCCAGATACGCACACCCAAAGGATTTTTCCCCTTTACCCTGGTTCTTCTTTCGGCCTCTAGGCGCTGCATAATTAACATGGTATCTACATCATCATCTTCCTCATCCTCATCATCTTCATCCTTCTGCTTTGATTCTTGGAGTCTCTTCTGGAATTGCCACTCTAACATAAGTTTTCGTAAACGGTCATTTTCTTCTGCTGTGCGATCTGGTTTGTTTTGAAGATCCTGAATCTCTTTGCTTAGCATGTCTACAATGTGCATTTGCTGCTGTTTCTCCAGCTTTTCCTTGGCATCCCGTTTCCATGGGTCAGGGGACAAGCTATCACTGGAGGAAAGCTCTTCTTTGCTGATTGTGATGTACTGCAAATCTCTCCGCTCAATTGTCCGTGGCTGCTGCTGGGGCTGCAGCTCCCGGATGACAGTTTCTTGGGGTCTCTGTAACGTAGATGGCTTTTCTGGCTTTATCTGCTGGACAGGTACAGGAGTAAGTTGGGTGGGGTTCAAGGGCTGAGTGCGCATTTGCCCCAGCTTTCTTTCCTGTTCTCGTCGCTTCCTCTCTCTCTCTTCTTCTAACCGCGCTTTTTCCTTTTCATACCACCGCTGGTGTTCCTCTCTCTTTTTACGTTCTGCAGCTGCTGCTGGTGCAGACTGAGGTCCTATCTGGTGAAGAGGAGGAGGGGGAGGCAGAGGTAAATCCATGGGAACCCCATCAAAGTCAGCTGCATAGTGCACGGGAGGAGGGGGAGGCGGAGGAGGAAGGTCTGTTCGAATAGGTTGAGAAATAGCCACTGGGGTTGGCTGAAGAGCTGTTGGGGTTTTCCAACGGCCAGGGCCACTTTTGGTTAAAGTAGAAGCTGGAGTAACAGACTTAGAAGAGTGGTTCAGGAATTCTTGGCTGGACGTACTAGATTCCACAGAAGAGCTCTGATTTATCCATATGTCACTGTCAGACTTTCGATCTAAATAGTCTGAATCTTTGCGATGACACTCTGGTTGGTAAACTTGATCATCTCTCAATTCTTCTTGGGAACGAGTAACACGCTGGAAAAAAAAAGTCATACTTAATGAATTTTTTTTAAAAAGAGTTAAAAACAAATCTAATTAGATCTATATGAAAATAATTTCTAAATGGCCTTTAATGAGCTAACAATATAAAACATTCTAAATGTGAATTCTACTTCTACAAGTATTTAATACATGTAGTGTGAACATATACTTGGTCCACAACTCAATTCAAATGGAAAATGAAGATGCTGTCACTTTCTCACAATGTTTTGAGGAAAAAAAATTATAAAAAAATTTTACATGTTAATGCTTATGAAAAAGATCAATAAATACAAAAGTTCTCTGTAATAAAATCCCCTAGTAAGTTTTTTAATCTTTAAATAACCTGTATATCTATTTCAGAGAACATAAAAAAATCCATGGGCTTCTAAACCTCATGAACCATATAAATTCCTAGGTACAATGCAAGGAAAAAGGAAAAAATGCATGGAAATTTGAGATACTGTGCAGTTTTCCAACCTGGGGAGATTAGGAGACAAACACAAAGCCACTTAGCTGTTTCCCTACTGTTTTAAATGACCTTTTAATCTCTTTTGCCCTCAATCACTTTCCTAAAGAAAAGGAATATACAGGCAGAAGCAGCCAAGTGCACTGCTTTATTATTATTACCATCATTATTACTATTATTATTATTCTAGTCTCCAAAGAATAAAGACAGAAAATTAAATCCCAATGAAAGATTCCCTAATCAGAAACAACAACAATTTTCCCACTTCAATTGGTGGATAAGGAAATGGGGATATAGATTTACTAAACAAATAAAGATCATTTCTGCTTCTCTTGAAAGAGCTAGAAAACGGTAGAATTGTAACTTGAAAAATCTGAATGCCCATTACCCAATTATGGCCTCTAATCCCTCATAAAGTCATGCCAGAAAGTGTCCTTGCTGCTGTTTATATAATAGCATATATAGCAGCTGTCCTAAAATACTTAAAATTAAAGGGAATAGTACATTTAAAGTTGCTTATGCATTTTTAATTGAAGTTTGCTTATCCAACCCTTCCCTCTATTCATGTTCTACCTTTGTTTTTTTCCTCCAGAGCTAAAAATTTCACTATGCTAAACAAAACAAAACCCCAAACCAAATAAAAACTATTTCAAGCATGCTTCAACTTTTCAAAGGATCAATGATCTTATCAATAAAAAAACTCCCTCCCAATGGTACAAATCACAACCCACCCAACATCCCATTCTAAGCAATTCTTGTCCATATCCTCTCATAAATCCACTGAGAACTGGAGAGCACAGAAGGGGAGAGTCTTATCATAAATGTGATGAGAGATTTCCTTTAGAGCAATACATTATTTGTGTATCAGTGCAGCACGTGATTTGACAATCTATTTGTAATTCCTAATTCTCTCCACAAGACTGGGCCATCTCTTCTAATTATACATTGCTGTGTTTATGCCCTTTCCTTTGTGCAATTCTTCACTTACAATATGTAAATTAGCAAAATATATTCATGCTTACTATGGTCATCTCTTTGAATAACCCACTATTTTGATTCTTTTGAAATTGTGACTTTTGAATTCTGTGACTACTAGCCATACAGCATCACTAAAAGAACAATGGCTTCTGTTTTAGGCAGAAGTTCAGGGCTCATGAAAAGCACTGAGCAATTTTCAAATGTGATCGAGCCTGCTATCTTCCATCAATCCTGGGCCCAATCCATCATTCAATTGCATTAATTCTCCCAAGATATGTACTAAAAACAAGCTCTACTGGTTGTTCATCCAATCACATATCCTTAGGTCAACTGCAGACATCATTTAAGAGGCTCTGAAATGTCTCAGGACTTAGGACAATCGGCATATCATCTATAGGACCTCAACATCTAGAGGGCAGAATCAGAACTGTTGTTCTAGATAGCTTGATGTTACCATAAACCTATGGGTAGAATAGGTATTGCGAAGCTGAAAAAAATATGAAAAGGAGAAATTTATTTCCTATGGGAAATATATGCATTTTTAACAACAATGAAAGTGTTTGTACTAGTTGCTATCATCAATTATGTGGTAATATTTTACCTCTTTTTCAGAACAACTCAACAATCCACCTGTTCCACAGATGTTGAGCTTCAGAGATTCTACCTTGCATACCTCCATTAATCTCCCAACTCTGCACCTCTCCACTAATCTTGTCCATGACTCTTACTAGATTTCTTTATCTTAAAAGAGTATTAAAATATAGAATTCTATTTCATGAGATTTTCCCTGATAGACCGAAGTAATAAAACCAAACCTTAATTAAATTAAAAACTGCTTTACTCTGGGTTAATTCCTTGATAAAGTCCATCTCTCTTCAAATTGTAATCTCTGCTGAACATTCTTTATGAGAGTACTAATTTTGTTGGCAAGTAGACACACCTCAATTTTAATCTTCATTTGCCATTGATAATAATTAACATTTATATAGTGCTTTTAAGATGTATAAAGTACTTTATATATTATTTCATTTGATTAATATTGACACTCAAGAGATTAAAGAAAAAGAGGTCCCCCCCATTTCTCCCAGGATGGAAGTTTATAGGCTTCTCATAGGACTGATTCCACTATTAATTCGTATGGAAATCTAGGTCTGCTGTTTCTGATGTAGGTCAGTTCAATCTTCTTTAGACAAAATGGTGCCCCACTCACATCAAGGGGCTCACTACATTAATGCAGAAATTAGTGCACTCATCAGATTGCCACTATCCACTAAAGCTCAGAACTCTTTTTCTTTTAAATTTCTACTTTTCAACATTCACTGTTATAAGATTTTGGGTTCCAAATATTTCCCTATCTCTTCCGTCCCTCTTCCCAGAAGGCATGCCATCTGATGTAGGCTATACATGTATACTCTTTAAACCTATTTCCACACCAGTTATGTTGTGAAAAAAGAATCAGAACAAAAGGGAAAAACCACAAGAAAAAAACAAAAACAAAAAGCGAAAATAGTATGCTTAGATCTGCTTAGACTCCATAGTTCTTTCTCTGGATGTGGACAGCATTTTCCATCATGAGTCTCAAATCATAATGCTGTAGCTCAGAACTCTTGAGCTCAATGGTACCCAACAGCCTCAGTCTCCCTGGTAGCTGGGATTATAGGCTTGTATCATGAGCCACCATACCCAACCTGAAAAGCCTTTAAGACAACAATTTGTGATACTCAGAGTTCTGTCACATTCAAACAATAACATATCAACAAAAGCAAAACACTTAAGCAAAACATTTATGCGTCAGATATTCTGTTAGGTGCTAAGGATATACAGATATTAAACAATCCTTGCCCTCAAGAAACTTACATTCAATCAAGGAAGACAATATATACATATATAAGTATACACAAAAATATGCAAAATACGGGGTAATCTTTGGGGGAAACGCACTAGAAACTGGGCATGGGGGAGGAATTAGCAAAGGCTTCATGTACATTGTATGTCACTTGAACTAAGCTCGTTAGTTCAAGAAATTCAAAGTCAAAAGTGAGGAGGGAGCACATTTCAGCCATGACGGATGATCAATATAAAAGCAGAGAGACTAGAAAAGGAAAGTCATATGTAAGAAACATTGGGAAGGCTGGAACCACATTGTGGTTTAATGTAAGGGCTTTAAATGACAGAGAAGTTTGTATTAGATCCAAAGGTGGTAGGAAACCACTAGAGTTTACTGAGCAAGAGAGTGACATGAACAGATTTAGGACTTTAGGAAAAATTACTTTGGAACTTGTGTGGAGGATGTATATAGGAGAGGCAAGAGGCTTAAAGATTAAGCACAGGAAGAGTGGATATTCCAAGTGATTATCTGTTGGTGAAAACCTGCGTCTTTCCTGCCCTTGATGTGTATGTGTATTTCATCAAGATTGATGAAATGGAAAAAATAGCTATGTGGATCTTAAGATTATCGCTGAATATATACATAGTAATAATATATATTATAATACATTGTATAATATATTGTGTATATATATATCATAGTATGATATATAGTATATTAGAGGCCACTTAGATCAACCCTCTCATTTGACAAATGAGGGCGCATGGGTTGGAAGTTAACAGAAAATTTCTCAATCTCCCCAGCCATTTTTTTTTTAAGCACTAGTAACTGCCATGTTTATTTTTTCCCCCATAAGCACTTGCTTTTCACTTTGAATTTTTCTTTTATTACAATTTCTATTTCTTCATATAACACAACGATGTTTGTGATGTTATAATCTAAGTGTGGTAGATAAAGTGATGACAGGCTTCCTTTTTTCTGTTTTGTCTAGTTTCACTTTTAAAGCCTTCAGTACAGGAAACCCTAGAAGAAAATTGTTGTATTGATGTAGACAGGCATAAGAATTGTTTCCAAGTCTTTGTAACTGACTTTTCCCTCTAACATTTTTTGACATTTTTGTGAAGTGATTCAATTCTCACCACCCTCTTCCCTTAAGATTTTATAAACAAACTTATATTCTAAACTACTGTTTTCACCACTGCCACTTTACAAGGGGAACAAATGTGTTGTAGCTGAGGGAGTACCTAGACACTTTGCATTTCCACATTGTGGTAATTTACTTACATCAGTTAAAATTTCTTAGAAATGGTAATTAAGTCTGTGTTGATATAGTTCCTTTATCTATTTCTCAATTTTTAGACCAGCTGATTGTTTAAATAGGTTAGGCTGAAACTATTTAAATTGCAAGCAGTATTTTCTCTATTTTATTCTTTTCTGATTTAGTCTTGATTTAGATCTTCTCCTAAAATGTTTTGATTCTACAAAGAGAACCAGTAGCAACCAGAGTTAAATCCTATGAAGATATAGTTAGGCAATTTAATTTTCTGTAATGCTGTTTGAGGCTCAATGCCCAATGCTTCTCCACTACCTCCTTGAAAAAAGTTTTCATGATCTATAAACTTGAGGTTTCTCTATAGTTTATGCATTTTTGGCCTCAGCTCTTGAACAATATTTTCCAAGAATTTTTTAAAAAAATCATATACCCTCATACATCTGCATTAT